AGTCCTTATCAGTCCTTTCCCACAACTCCTTGTGTCATGGCTTCCAAAGCATTTATGATCCTAGAACAGGTCTGCCAGATGCAGCGCCTAAGGAAGTGTGAAACTTGGTTTGTTTGAGTATCTCTTGTCCTTTTTTCTGCTAAGGCCTCTCTTCTGTCGGTCTCTCTTATTTTCTTTCCTTTGAAGGAACATGATTGATAGTCACAATTCTATTTTAAAACATCATTTGTACCTACAATTTAGGAAGAAATTGGGACATTTTTCTCCCTTAGAATTAATAGACATGGTGACTGAGTGGTATTGGAATAGTTGCTAGGATACATGAGGCAGTTGCTCCAACTTCCGGGGCAAGCCTCTTGACCTTTATGAATCTCATTTTAAGATAAAGGGATCATTTCTAAATCTAAAATTCTACAACTCTAGTTTGGATAAAGGTTTACATGCAACATGAAAGACTTAATTAAATAGGCTCAAAATAGGAGCAAAATCACTAACACATGAAGGCATAAACATATTAATAATATATAAAAATAAGATAATTTGACAAATCTAGAATCAATTTATATTTGTTCCATATTGATCCCCTCCAAAAAAGCTTTTCAAACAGAGAATGTCCAAGAATGTTATATAAAACCCATTTGAATCTTGGTATTCCCTCATGACAGAATTTGACTCTAGTGGTGGAAGGAAGGATAGGGTTCTAATAGAATGTTTTCTCTTTCTCTCTTTTTTTCCTTAATAGATTCATGGTATGGAATCCCACCTATAACTGTGTAAGATTACAATGTTGACAACATACTTGAAATACATTTTCTTTTACTCTAATATGCATAATCTGCATTTAGAGTCAGTGTAACTGAAATGAATAGGGCATTTAATTTACCTTAAAAATATAATATTAAAAATAAAAACAACCAAAGAAAAAGAGATCAGACTAGTGACTATCAGAAGGGGAGGGGGGAAGAAATGGGGAATTAGAGGAAGGTGGTTAAAGGTACAAACTTCTAGTTATAGGATAAATAAATACTAATGGTGTAGTGTATAGCATGATGACTCTAGCTAACACTGCTTTATGATATATAGGAAAGTTAAGAGAGTAAATCCTAAGAGTTCTCATCACAAGGAGAAAGTTTTTTTCTTTTTTATGTATCTATACGAGAAGATAGACATTAGCTGCACTTATTGTGCTAATGATTGCACAGTGTATATACATCAAACCATCATGCTATAAACCTTAAATGTATACAGTGAAATATGTCAGTTATTTCTCAATAAAACTGGGTAAAAAAAAGGCAAGCAAATGCACACATCTTTCTTAGAAGAAAGGCAACATATAAAGTTATTTAAACATGTGCATTAATGAAAAGATGGGTATTCATTATTTTAAGGTTTTATAAATTATGTTAAGCTTCAGTACTCATGATTTCCATTTACTGTTCTAATCCCTCATTTTTTTTTTTATTGAAGACTTGGGTGAGGGTCCTGTTTACTAATGGTGAATTTTCATATCATTGTATGACACTATTGTGATGCACTCAGTCCTTTTTAAGGAAAAGAGAACATATAAAAGAAGTGTAGGATATTTGAACCTTGTCAGAAGTACTAAAAATATGATACAGCAATTCAGAAAGACACAAGTAACTGCAAAGACTTGGAGGAATGTCATAGAAATATTTTTGTAGGATGGGAGTTGTTATGCTGTGGTTCTGGTCTCTGACAATTACTCCAATTTTCATAATCATTGAAGGTGGAATTTTTGAGAGCTCTCTGACCCTTGTAAACTGGAAGGGCTAATTTGAGAAAGATGTGGTGTGAAGCGTGGCCTTTTATAGGCTGAAAACAGGACTTTGTGAAGTGATTGCTGAATGAATGCAAGACTTGCATTGCTGTGCAAAAAATGAGGGCATTGACTTTTTGTCCCTGGAGAAAGCAGTGCATTTAAGACACTGAGCCTCAGAGAGCCTACATGTATTCACTAAATACGTGTCATTGACTTAGGTTAAAGTTGTATGCCAACCTAGGTCTGGGAAGAAGCTGTAGGAAAGGGTTGCTCTGCACTGAAGAAACCTCGACTATCAGTAAATGCACTGTTGGATTTCACTGAAAGGATAGAGAATAAAGGACCAATATGAAAAGAAGTTATCCCCTCCTCATCTATGTATCAAATGAATGTTTAGGCACCTTGATAGGCCTTGCAGTACAAGAATGAAAGACCCAGCCCCTGCCTTCCAGGAGATTACATTTTAAAGCGTGGTCACAGGACAGTGTAATGAGAGTTGTAATGGAATAGAAACATATGCAGGTGCCCTGGCAACACAAAATGGGTGCCCTGATCAGTGAAAATTGCCTACTTTTTTTATCCAGTTTCCCTCGCTTTCAATTCCATTCTTCTTCCTAATTATTATTTTTAAAAGTAACAATTTTCAGAAGTGAAAAAAAACACCTTAGGGATCACCTAGTTACTTGCTGCTGAAAAGGTGATCCATGGAATACTGGCGCAGCATCAGTTAGAGCTTTCTAGAAAATGCAGAATCTTCTTAAAAAAGGGCTGCACCCTAGACCTCCTGAGTCAGAATCTGCATTTTAACTATGCCCCACCAGTGATTCTTCTCCTTAGAGTTGGAGAAGCACTAACATAATTCACCTTCTGTCTACCAGGTTTTGTAGGGGATGAAGACAGCCTGTGCCCTATGCACAGTAGCAGAGCTGGCATTAAAATGCAGCCCATCTGTTTACTGATGGTCTTGCATGATTTCTCTGATAGCTCTGTTGTTTCTTATCTACTCCCCTCCACTTTTTAAAATTCTCCTATTGGCCTCTGTTAGTGTTTCGTATTGTCAGATCTTCAGCTTGTTACTCATGCCTCTTTCTCTCTCTTCGTTAGTTCTCTCTTTCAGTTTCTCTGTTGGATGAGAGAATGGCACAGGTTACCCACATTATACATCAAAAAGAATGCATTTTTTATTCTTGATTTCAGGCAAATTTTTGGACCTGTTTCTCCAATTTTGTTCTACTTGCTGCTGAGAACTTTCTTTGAAGTCAGTAGGAATTCTGTGTGTAGTAAGAGTGACAAATAATAACTACATGATACTAGAAATTAGACTCTCCTTACAGATGAATTTATCTTCCTTTTTTTGTTACATAGATGATCCCTTAAAAGAGTGCTTTGGCCTTTTGTATCAGTCGCATGGAAAAAACAGTACCTGTCCATTGATTGGTGGATAGGAATTGCATGCCAGGCAACTCCTTCTTTAGTGACCGAAAGTAGAGCAGGGCTTTAAGGTTTAGGGGGTTATGTATCATCTGTTTTTTTCTATAATAAAGAAAAATAAAGATCTAAGTAGATAAATGACCCATGTTTTAAGGGGGCTTTTGGCATACAAAGATAGGGGCATCGAAGGATAATATGACAACATTAAAGTGAACAATCAGGATCATAGGGACCCAATGCCTTCAACAAAAGTCAGCCACGCCCCCCCTTGTGAGAGGCTTACTCTCTCTCCTGTCTTTTAAGTATTTGAGTTTAACTCTGGAATATATTTTGATTTAAGTGATAGAACCTTAATTTCCATGAATAGATAGATAATAGGCCTCCTCTGTAAACTATGAAATAAAGACAGTTTTTCTGTTTTTCTTGTTCTCATGTGTTTTTCTTTTAAGTCACTCTCCCACCTTTCTAACTCTAACTTTCTAACTATGATTTCATAGAAACCATAGTTATTACGTCACTTCCTGACTTTGGAGATTATGTGAATAAATATTGTTCTACTTGTGCTTCATGTCTTAGATTCTATTTTCTGTTGACAATATACAGAAACAGATTGGTTTATTTTTTAGGAAAGCATTCTGAGACATAATTATCTAATCCAAAGCTATTTTGCATATATAGTTTTAGTAAAACTCAGTTTAAATAGGGGGACATTGTAATGAGTAATTAAGTGAAATTTATTTAGGCTAGGTTTAGGAACTGGCTGAAAGGTAAAAAATTGTTTTTTACTATTTTAAAAATATATAATATTCCTCAAAATAGAACACAGAAATGTTTTGTAGTACCAAGAATAAACTAAACATTAGATTCACAACCATTTAAATGCTGATTAGCTTTTAGAGATATAAAATTTAATTTCAATACCTTTTTATAATGTATTAGAAAATTTTTGTTATTCTCATATTTCATTCTCATGCTTCTCTTAGAAATGTTTTACTTGTGACAAACTCTATTACAAAATTAATTCATAGTTGCATATTTGAATATTAAAGACAGTTGATTCATTTTAAATGAAATAATGTATTACATTATATATATATTTACATATATGTAAGGTAATGGATATATACCTTAGAGAAAAAGCATATAAATTGGTTATATTCTTGGGTGAAAAAAATAGACTCATGTTCTCAAGGAAATATTTAGAAAAATGTCTTGAACGTGGTGATTACCATTTAAATAAATCACAGAACTGTAATGATCTCTCACTTAATCCCCTAAATATAACTGTACTCTTGTCTTCAGTATCCAGAAATATCCCAGAAAATGGCTTCCATTGCCCCACACCTCTTCAGTTTATTAATTCATCCCTGCTTTAGGCTTAAGAGGGAGCAGCTTCCAAACTGCACTGAAATATTTCACATGTTTAGTATAGAAGACAAATTTCTCCTTAAAATATCAATTTTCTGTCTATAGAATCTTCCATTAAGTTTCATCCCAAGCTTGTTCTATATTTTCAGTGAGCCATATTTCTTATCTTTACTCTCTAGGTTCTCTGTAAAACATAATGTATGCCATATGTAACGAAACTTCATTTTCAAAAACTACTCAAGAGAATTGGTCTTGCTGCTTTGGTTTTTGTGCCATGTGTTTTTGTTGGGACTCAAAGGGCAGTGATCTGTACTTGGTCAAACTAGGGAAACTAAGTTGAAATGTTACAATTCTTAATAAGTTCATTTTATAAAACATGTATTGTTTAACAAAATTTTTTGTTATTTTATTGTCTCTGTAGATAAACGTGTGGAAAATTGGCCTCTGATGCAGTCTCCATGGCCTACACTTTGTATAAGTACGCTTTATCTCCTGTTCGTATGGCTGGGTCCAAAATGGATGCAGGCCCGAGAAGCTTTTCAGATGCGCTTAGTGCTCATTATCTATAATTTTGGGATGGTTTTGCTTAACCTTTTTATCTTCAGAGAGGTAAGTAATTCCCCAGGGTTATTAGAAATTTAAAAAATGAGAATGTGGAAAACCAGCATTGTAATAGTGTACCCTAAGATAACTGTTAGCTACTCTAAAAGTAAATTTTATATTATTGACATTTTTCATTTTTGGATAACAAAAGTATGAAACATACATAAAGTAGAGGACAGTTGTTTAAAATGGAATTTGGAGCAGACAGACTGGATTCTAAAATAAGCCTTATTGGCTGTGTTGACGCTGGAAGTTGACTCTTCTGAGACTCATTTCCCCCATAAAATGGGATAATACCTACCTTGTTAGGGCATCAGAGATAAAGGTGAGATCATTTTTGTATAGTGTTTAGCACATATTAAGCACTCAGTAAATAGTTGCACCTATTTACTTATAATTCTTATTCAGCAGTTTCAGGTTTGTAAATGATCAAATTATGCAGATGTAAAATACCAACTTCAAGTTAAATCCTGTTACATAATGTCATTGTATTTGGGGTTGGAAATAAAATGAGTTAACTGTTACACAACCGTTGCTACTAGTCATCATATACTTTTCTGGGCACCAGCAAATTCTGTGTGACATTTTGTAAGGAAATCCTAAGGCTAGATTGACACACCCATTTTTTAAGTTAAAAATAAAAGGAATTTGTTTTCCAAAAGACTCTTCATTCACATTCTATATGAACCCAGAGAACTGGACTGACAATGCTAGGAAAATAAATAGTACTCTCCTTTAAAAACAGATCTGTTCTTTAGTTGACATCTTAACCTACAGATTCTTAACTTGGTAAAAACAAACAAACAAACAAATGAAAAACTTTTATTTATTTGGCTACTTTTACCTAATTTGTTAAATGCAAACTACTCTGGATCAAGAATAGAAATCAATGCAACTCCTATACCTGAGTCATAGTTTCAAGAGAATTTTTCTCTTAATATTATGAAGTAGATAGAGCTGATGTCTCAGTCCAAAAGTTACATGTGATTTTTAATTGAGATTTCAATTTTCAAATAAGTTGACACAGTAAATTTTAGATATTCCAACACATTGAATGTTTAATGCATTTGAAATTTTTAAAGATAATATTGCTTTTTCAAATAATCTGAAAGATTGCATATTATATTTAGTGTTTTTAAATGCTGTATCTATTTTACTGCAAATATTATTCCCTTTTTTTCCCCAGTTATTCTTGGGATCATATAAGGCAGGATATAGCTATGTTTGCCAGAGTGTGGATTATTCTAATAATGTTAACGAAGTCAGGGTAAGTACATTAAAAATACTTTTAATTAGTCAAAGTGGGTTTAATTTTATGGTCCCCAGTCTGTGAAAAATGTACTTTAATATAGCGGTAAGAGTGCACTGGATTGTTTTGAGTCAGTAAAGCTGTGTTGTTTTTTTTAAAAACACATAAATGAAAATCTGTTTTCATGCATGAAATCCGTCTTCCCTGTGGTGGTGTGAAAGTGAATATGTGTTAGATTAATATTGGGTTGTTAGAAAAGTCATGACGTATTTTTTTCTGTTTTTTGTTGTAAAAATGCATCATGACTTTTCCGACAACTCATTAAAATGCAGTACTTTGTAAAAAAAGTTTCATGTTTAGTGTAAATATGATATTTTAGATTTTTGTTGTTTTGGATCAAGAATAGATATTCATAAAGAGAGTTTCTTTATCTAATTCATTTATTAAGAAAGTTTGAGGGAAGCATGTTTTATAAATTATATAATGTTTCACAAAGTATAGCACAATTTGTATAGGTGTAGACTCAGTTTTTATTATATTTGCAGAAAAAGAAACCACTAGTAACATAATGTTATCATATTTTACCTTCCAGTCACCTATATTAGTAAAATTACCATTTTACACAAGTGGAAGAAATAATAAATTACCTTGTTTCATTAAGTATGTATTGAACTCCTCTTGTGTACTGTGGTTCATATTAAAAATTATATACATATAAAATATATATAAGAAACACATGTTATATATGTTTTATGTTACATGTACTATATATATAATAATAATATAATATGTATTAGCTTCCCTTGAATAAAATAGTCTTTTGGCTTTGAAGTTGGACAATATAAATACCAATATTCATCAAGACCCAAGACCAAACTGCCCTAATGTACTTACCGTTGTATATCCATGTCTTCACTTCCCTATGAGGCTTCTGTACTGATGAAAAATCACTCTTTTAGTTGTCATATTGGTTTTATTCATTCTACGTATATGTATTGCACACCAGTCGTATGCGGGTAGCGTGAGGGGCACTGGGGACACAGGTGAAAAGACAAAGGAGATCCCTGCCTTTATGGAGCTGACAGTCCAGTGACGCGTGGGACAGGCAGACAGTGGTCATGAAAACAAATGGTTAGCAAGAAAATAAATTGTGTGATATGACGGAGAGAGAATGAGGGGACTACTTTCTTTAGGTTTGCTGGCTAGGAGAAATTTTCTTCTGATAATCCTATTGTCCGAGAACCTCCTCAGTGGAGAGCTAACTTCTGTGATCGTGCATGGTTTGGGAGAGGAAAAGGAAAAAGTGTTTAACTTGCTTTCTTTCAGGGGATTGCACTTAGAAAAATCCCTTGGATGAAACAACATACTCATGTTTTTAGGATAAAGACTTAAAAACATCGTTCTGGTAATTGAGAACCTACCCTCCTGGCATACATAAACAGTCAGTTCTTTAAAAAATTAGCTATTGTGAGAACTGTAATCTAGAAGAAAGAAGCAGAGATTCACAACAAATTGCATTTGAAATTTTTCTCCTTTCTCTTCTCTCTTAAATTAGATGTAGTAGAATAAATATTTCACTCAGGATTCATTTTTGTATTCATTATTGTATAACAGGAAGTATCACTTTTCACTTTGATGTGGCTATTTAGAGATATCTAATACAGTTTACAAACAAAAGATAGAAATTATTTATTATTATTCATGAATTGTGACTAATTTAGAGGCCCAGATGGGGAAAAACATAAGACATTATCTCTTACCTTATAGGTAAAGCTTACTATGCCAGAATGCTTATAGTTACTTTATTTTAAAGTACTAACGTAATCGTAAATGTTAAATATAGTGTTGCTGTGAATAGTTAACTATTTCAAGCCTATTTTCAACTTATTTTATCATTACCAACAATATTATTACCCAAGCAAATTCAGTAAATAATTCTCAATCTGTAAATACAAGACTTTATTTTCTGTGGCTTTTCTCTTTCCTCCTTGCCCATACTTAATATAATTTTGTTTTTTTAAAGCAAAAACTAAAACAAACAAAAACCCATGCTATCCAACATATACAAGTATAAAACGAGGAAGGGATCTATCAACTCTAAAACATCTAAACCTGTGTATGAATGAATCTCTAACCCCTGACAAACAAAGGTTTATTCGGTTGTGTACTGCCTTCTTTGTTATTTGTACATAGGACATATGTGATAAAAAATACTTGACTTAAAAAAGTTCAGTTTAGCTTACATTACAGTTGGATTCTTGTAAAATGTTTTAAAACATGTATACAGAGGTCACCTCTCACTGGATCCTTGGATCCTTAATCTCAGCATGTATATAGTAAGTAATCTTTCTGTACCATCTGGTGTCTTAATTAGAGCCCAGGAAAAGAAAAGACTTATTCATGTAAGCAGGATTATATTTATGACCTAGGAAATATTTGTTGTTTTCATTTGTTTCAGTTTATCATTTTAAAGATTTTACTGCCTAATGTAAATTACTGTGATTAGGTACTTACTTCATTGCACATAATAAAGTGACAGAGACACTAACAGAGACCAGTTGCTACACATAAACATAGTTGCAGGAATATCTGAGGTGTAATATAAGCTAAGCATGAACTGCTAAAATACTTTAACAAAGTAAGTATCTCAGTTTTTCTACCAAATTGGAAAACAGCATTGTGAACGTGATTATAGCTCTGTATCGGCAGTTTGGCCGCCTGGGAATCCGACTATGTAACAGACTAAAATTTTCTCTAAATTGTTGGGACAGAGTAGATGCAGATTTAGACTCTTTTCTTTCCCATTTTTCCCCATTAGGTTGATGCCTAGGTTTCACACCTGCTTAGGCAAAAACGATTCCATGCCTCATACATTTTGTGCAATGAAAATTATTTAAGGGCTTATTTACAGTGAGTCAAAAACCATATGACAGTGTCATTCTGGTGTTTATGGCATGCTTTTCCTTTCTTTTTACAGATAGCTGGTGCTCTGTGGTGGTACTTTATATCTAAAGGGATTGAGTATTTGGACACAGTGTTTTTTATCCTGAGGAAGAAAAACAACCAAGTCTCTTTCCTTCACGTGTACCATCACTGCACAATGTTTACGCTGTGGTGGATTGGAATTAAGTGGGTTGCAGGGGGACAAGGTGAGCATTTTCAGGAACACACCTCCATGTTTAAATTATGTAACTGTGTTGGGTGGAAAGTAATGAGAACCTGGGAATTTGACTTGGTTTATAATTTAACTTGCTTTCCTGGTTAATTATTTCTGTGTTAATTTCATTTTAATGACATTTGAAGAAAGTAAAGCTTTAGCTTTTTATCTGTGACTACTTTAACAGCTAAAGGTTTTCCCCAAAGATGAGCATAAACTAATACTAAATGCAGAGAATAATATTTTGATGGGGAGCAGTTCTAGTAGTTCTGATCCAAAGGATACCAAGATACGACTTCTCAGGCTGAAGGTCCCATCTCTAGCCCAAGCCCAGAGCCCACTCCTGCTCTAAAATAGGCCTTATGTCAGCCTGTTGGTTCTTACTCAAAGGAAATTGTATATAGCCTTGTTGATGTTAAAGAATCTGAATTCACAGTTTAGACTCAGTCTTTTAAGTTCACCTTGCTACTTTCCATTTAAAATTATTTAGAAGCCTAATTAATAAGTACTGTTTTGTTGTAGATATGTATATTGGCACATCTAAAGGCAATGAAACATTTACAAATCTACTTAAACAAATTATGTGTACCATGAGATTTCCCCCCAAGAATAATAGAATGAAAAGCAATAGTTCTATATTAGGGCTTACTTAAGCCACTGGAGTACCTCACTTAAAAACTTGCGACTTTGAAAGTCCTTGCATTTGAAGAACACGCCCCCCTTTTTTTTATATGTTAAGAGACTGAGTCTTAGTTTTAAACATCCCTAGCATGATCTGAAGAGAAGGCTTTTCCATCAGTACTATTTTATAACTTATGTTCCTATTCTGTACTCAAGATTGTTAGAAAATAATGTGGATTCATTTATTTCATGTCCACATGGTTTATTGCCTAATAAAGTTTTCTGTATCTTGTAATTCTGTTTTCCTAAAGCATTTTTTGGAGCCCAGATGAATTCTTTCATCCATGTGATTATGTACTCCTACTACGGGTTGACTGCGCTTGGTCCATGGATTCAGAAGTATCTTTGGTGGAAACGGTACCTGACCATGTTGCAGCTAGTGAGTTAAATGCTTCTAAAATTTCTTATGGTGCAACGCTGAAAATGTTTGAGTTTATTAATTGTGAGGTTCTGAGTCACTTTGGACAATTTTCTGTTACAAAGTCAACTCTTCCTGTGCTCCATCTCTGGGAGGCGAGGCTACTTGGCTCTGAGCTACCTGCTCATAGTCCTAGTTGTCATGGCCACTTGCTTTTTAAACATGCTTAAGAGACTAGACACAGCTCTTGTCTAAGAGAAATATTCTTTAAAAATATCTGTGAAGTGGATGAGTAAAGATCTAAGCACACCACAAAGTAGATAGAATCATATATATAACTAGAAAAATAATATAACTTCTTTCTTAGGAGATTTCTTTTTGTTAACTTAAAATGTTATCATTACTACTCTTCATCCTGCCCTTGCTTAAATTTTCTGTTTGCTGTTCTATTTTTCAATCCTTGTTAATAGATTCTGTACATTTAGAATTTAAAAGTTGAAGAAAAGACGTAGAGCCAAGGAAGGGGTGGGATAAAGGCAAGGAACAAGGACAGAGAGCTCCTCTTAATTCTCTAACACAGAGAGCAGAGCTCGTTATTTTCAATTGCTAGTCTTTAGAGCAGACGATTTTCAGCACATACCTCTAGTAGCACTTCATGTAGGGTCTGGGTGCATCAGTGTAACATTCAGAGCTAGGCACTGGGTGAGTAATCAAACTGGAAATCCAAAACCAACCTGGTAGCTATTCTTCAAGCCTTGGAATTTATTATGATTCGCTTTAATCATAGTGTGTACACAATTTTATCAGTGGAATCATGTTTGGAAATATTATTCATCTCTGTTTTAAGTTGCTAAACAGCTGGCTAACTAAACAGGAAACACAACTTTTGGGGAATGCTGGGTGTGAAGAATTTATTTGTAACTAAAATGTTACAAGAAGCTTCCTCCAGTTTTTGTGTAAGCTGTTTGTACAGTTTGTGTAAATCATTTTTTTTTAGTAGTTAACAAATGGTCCAGAGAAAATGAAGAGATGACAAAAATCACGTGAATTATTTATATATTTTTTGTTGAGTCCTGCATCTGACTCCCTTGAGAGCTGCCATATGCAATCACACCTAAATACACACACGTTTTTGGTGTTGCAGGTTCTAAGAACCATTGTGAACCCAAAAGTTCTTATAATATGGATTTTGCCATGGAAAATTTTAAGTTGTTTAGTTGGATATAAATTTGGGGTTTACATGGAATACATTATTTTAATAATAATATAATGATTAATACTTATAATGCTATCCTAAAGAGAAACCATAATTGCCCATTTCCAAACAGACTGTTAATTTTATGAAGGGTAGTCTATTTGCCAAGCCAGAAGTCCTCACAAGTTTATCATGTAAGTTAATCTTGTAAAAAGTTTTAACCCTTGTTAACACCATGCAATTCATAATTTTTATTTTGAGAATCATTCATTTATTGATATATTAGAATTTAAACTTATTTGTCTCATATTAATTAAAGGCCTCTTAATTTTGGCTTATCTCCTTTAAAAACTCTTGAAGTTAAAAATGATTTTCTCTTTTTGTACTTATTCTCAAATTTCTAGTAAATTCTACCCCAAATCTTAATTTTTAAAGGATAGTGTTACTTTACATGTACATTACCTGTCTACTATTCTGTAAGAAACAAATAATGAACCATTTTGATAAGTTTATTTTTAAAAGTATGTATTCCAGCTTACTAACATTTTTGTGGAAAGTAATCAGTCTAAAATGTGGGAGGAAAACAAAAGTTGAAGAGCCTACAGTACTATTACTTTACTCCCTTAGGCCACTGATATTCCCTCTTGTTAGATGATATTATTTAATGTTATCCAACAAATATCCACTGAGTTCAGACATTGTGCCAAGGACTCCAGAATCATCAGAACAACACAGGGTCCTGCCCTTTGGACTTACGTTCTAGTGGAGAGATGGAGGATCCAGAACTCACCAAATGCAAAAGACAATTTCAGATAGCTATAATTCTTACAAAGAAAAAAAACCCCACACAAAACAAAAGCTCTTTGGTTAATGGGATTGAGAGGACCCATTGGGTGGAAGTACTTTCGTTCTAGCCATGAGGAAGCCATTGCTGAGGAGATGGTGTTTGAGCAGCAACCTGAAATAAGAAGGAGCCAGGCATGGGAACCAGAGAACGATTAAACTTTGGATAATGTGGCAAAATTCGGGCCTATCTTAGCTAGACAGAAGATTCTTTTTTAAGATTTTATTGGGGAATTGGGGGAGGGGAACAGTGCTGAGGAATCGGGGGAAGGGGAACAGACAAGTTGCTGTCCTTTTGTTCTTCAGTCTAGTTGTAGAGGATGTTGCTTCACTGGCCCATGTTGGTATTATCATTGCACTCTTCCCGGGTGAGGCAGATCGGTCATTGGCCTCTGGACAGTCATTCACGGCAGCTCTTGGCAGCTCACACTGCTGCCAGCCACACATAGTAGCTTATGGCAGCCCACTGCAGCAGGAGCTGCAGCCTACGCCATCGCCATTGACTCAAGGCAGCCCAGCTCCAGGTCGAGCTGTTGTTCAGCATCTTAGCTGTAAAGGGTGCAGCGTCACTGGCCCTCATAAATGGGATACGAACTGGGGTCCTGCTACTCAGAGCTGGCATCCCAAGCCAGCTCTTAACCAACACGCTACTCGGCCAGCCCTAGATAGAAGATTCTGATGATGTTCAAAGTGGTCTGCTATTCACAATAAACATATCCTGCATTTCTGTTTGTCTGCTTTTCAGGTTCAGTTCTTCGTGACCATTGGACACACAGCGCTGTCTCTTTACACCGATTGCCCCTTCCCAAAATGGATGCACTGGGCTCTCATTGCCTATGCCATCAGCTTCATAGTTCTCTTTCTTAACTTCTATATTCGGACATACAACGAGCCTAAGAAATCAGAAACTGGAAAAACAGCTGTGAATGGTATTTCAGCCAATGGTGTGAACAAATCAGAAAAATCAGTGCTAGAAAATGGAAAAAAGCAGAAAAATGGAAAAGCAAAAGGAGAGTAAATTGAACTGGGCCTTAACTGTTGTTGACAGTAAGGAAGCTCCCATTTCATATAAAATTTCAGGGAAAACGAGCAGATGAGGGTTTGGGAGTGGGGAGAAAAAAGCAAATGTGCTCCTATGTATTAGTAACCTTTAGATTGAGTAAAGTGTTAAATACAGTACCCGAATGTTTTATTTATGAAGTTTTTATTTTAAACTTTTTTTTTTTAATTAGCTTTGTTGTCTAGACCAAAGCAATTATTACGTGACTTTGGAGGCTCTCCCTCTGTTCACATCTGTTTGTCTAATGCATGAGACTTTTCATGTATTTTATATGCAGTCATTCCTCAGTCTGATGATCACAGAAACATGGTCTTTATGAGTTTTTTAGCTAAATTACTAATTACTTACTGATTAAAATTCATTACCTTACATTTTCTGGTCCAAAGCTGGAAATGCAGATAATTTGAAATTTGCACATTTGAATTCATTTGCTGGCTGGAATGGTCAAATCTCTCCACCTCTAGTCTGAATATACCCTTTTGGTTGTAATTTAATTTAAAAAATCTGATGATCTCTGTAGACTTTTAGAGGCTTGATGATGATGGTGTTGGTGAAAATAAGAAAGAATTACAGTAAAATCCTGTCTGGCGACCCAAAGGTCAGCATGACTTATGGCACAAATCACTGTGGGAAACAATTTTTTTTGATGAAAGGCAGCCTTTCAATACTGCTATTACTATCAGAAACTATATTATGAAAATTAAGATTATTGTCTGATTGGAACATGAAACAACTCTTGTCATTATTAGTAACATCATAAAATAGTTACATTAATGTGATCGCTCTTAGGAGACAATATGTTGATTTTTATCAGACTTTCCTTGTTTTGATTTGTGGCTGTTACCGATTTTTCATATGTGGAAATATACCTACCTCTTCTGTTGGAAAGAACATTTAAAATTAAATAAATTTTAATTAAAAAAATCAAGGAGTCCTCTAATGTACATTTTAATATTACCTTCTGAATCCGCTAGTACCTTTTTGCTTTTTTACAAATAGCATACGCCAAACTTTTCTGTGAAACTATCCTTCTCTTTCAATGTGTTTAATTTTGGAATAATATTTTCCTCATGACCAAGTTGCAAGATCTTATTTATTAATGAGATGTGAAGTGTAAACCCATTTTGGTGCAATATTCTTGACTCCTTGGTGCTAAGGATCATTAAATTCAGTGCTTGATTGTTACAAGGTGTTAACTATTAAGACACAAAATGAATAAAAGTGAGAGTAGTCAGAACCAGAAACTTTAATTTGCTATTTACAAATGAAGTATTTTATGTAATATACATGAACAACTGAAAGTGCACTAGGAAAGAGAATTGTTCTGTGTCTTATTACATAAGTTAAATTGTTAGGGAATGTTGCACAGGGATCGTTATGAAAAGAGAAAATGTGACCAAAAAAAAAAAAAAAAGCATGAGTATTTCTCAGTATCTCAACATGTCAAAGCTGCATGTGCAGGATGTATACTGTTTGTGCAGACCAACTATTTCACAATATTTTGTAAATTATAAAATATTTATTGTGCATTAAAATTACACACTTTTCCCCCACAAAAGCATGCAGTCATGAGGACTACAGAAAATTTGCAACACATATGTAGTTTGGTCTAAAAGGATTCAACACCTTTGTATTTTGCTGCTCAGTGTATAATGACTAGAGATTTGTAAATCTTTGTGAATATTCATTCTTTGCTACCTGATTTCAGCACAATAAATATACTACTGCAGTGGGAAAATGATATTTTTGTTAATCAGTTTATTATAATGTAAATTATCTGCTAGATGCTTATTTATTTGGTTTAGTTTTTAATATTCTAAAATCTGCTAATTTCTAATATAGAAAAGAAATTAAACTAGAACATGGCTGCCTACGATTCCTGGTAAAATGTTATTTTTTTATAGTAGCATATTTTTACTTCAAATATTAGTTGCCTTTGGAAGAACTTTTGAATCCAGATACAAAACATATCATTTTGTTCTACTCTTACGTTTGTCATTTCAAATGTAAGCTTTACCACTTTTTTTTTTTAAAGATTTTTATTGGGGAATTGGGGGGATGGGAACAGTGCTGGGGAATTAGGGAAGGGGAACAGAGAAGTTGCTGTTGTTTTGTTCTTCAGTCTAGTTGTGGAGGATGTTGCTTCACTGGCCCAAGTTGGCACCATCATTGCGTTGTTCCGGGCGAGGCAGATCAGTCGCCGGCTTCTGGACGGCCGCTCACAGCGGCTGCTCGCCGCTCACGCTGGCTGCTGGCTACATAACGGTAGCCCATGGCAACCCACTGCCACACGGGCTGCAGCCTATGCCGTCACCGGGTACTCACGGCAGCCCAGCTCCAGGTTGAGCTGTTGTTCAGCATCTTACTGTGGAAGGCGGTGTCACTGGCCCTCATATGTGGGATCCGAACCGGGACCCTCTGGCGTCCCAAGCCAGTTCTCAACCATCGCGCCACTCGGCCGGCCCGCTTTAACACTTTTTAATGCTGTGCTTCTTTTGTTGTTCTAAAAACGAAGTAGGGGAGCTGCTTGTATTCTTACGTTTAAATCATTCAGTCCTCATCACACCTAAAGGTTCTCTATCAAAGATGATTTTAAGATGTGATAAATATAGCCTTTTCTAGTAGCTTTTATAATTTCCCTATCATCACACTAAGTTGTATGCCTCAGACCTAAAAATCTGTGAAAGCGGATTGCATCCACTTTTTCATAAAACTTTGTCACTAAGTAAAGAAAAGTTTTCTTAACATAGAAAACATGGACTTCATTAAATATTTGAAATGACCAGAAATATCTGCGGTATGTAACAGTGCATTGTCCAATAGAATCGATGACTGAAGCTCTTCTTTCTTTTCTTTTCTGTTACCCTTGCCTCTCTTTTGCTGATTGATGGGACACTGACTGATGACTAGTCTCAGTATTAGTGTTATTACTTTAGGCATTCTCTTTTTCTCTCTTTCTACACACTCTAGGTATTCAAAAATATTTGCATATGGATTGTTATATTCAAATTTTTGAACATAGAGCCTAGCTGTGTTTTGTAGATCATTAGGAATATTTTAATGTACAGTTTTGTTTCGTATAGGCACCTCAGTTACCCTATAAGTAAGAAAGAGAACCTATAGGTAGAAGTGATTTTTTTCTATCTTATCCATTTGATAATTTAACAATTCAGGCATTATGTATTGACTTTTGGGGCTGAACTTTTGAATTTCACCATCATTAGAATGCGACTGAGCTAGTCACACTCACAGCTCTTTCCTCATGATAACCTTTCTTTCAGCCAGCCGTAGTCATAACACTGCCCTTATTGAGAAAAAGATGACTACAGATGTACGGAGTGTACAGTGGGCACTCAGTACAGACCTGGGGACTTAGACATTGGATCCTGCTGATGGTAAATAAGGCTGCAGACTTGACAGGCACTGCAACGCTGGGCTCTGTACACAGGAGCCCAGCATCTGAGCAGTAACCACAAAACCTGCATAATGAGATTGGTCACCTGCCACTCAGCATGCAAGCAATTTTGACAACCTTGGAAAGCATAGCCGTAATACTATGTTTTAGAATCCATGTGAAATCTTAGGTATTTTAGGAAGATGATATCTGAACTAGAAGAATAGCTGTGAAAAGGGAGGGGTAATAGAAACAGATTCCTTGTTTCGAAACTATAAATCAAGCAAGTATTAGAAGTTGGTTTTCCTAATATGGAGTACAGAGGGAAGGCAGAGCTATGAATACAAAGGCATAGCTTTCCACATTTTTTCAAGTTTTTAAAATAGGAGGGTGAAACATAACTCTATGTTCCTTAGGGAGTTTTAGAGATCTAAACTAAAAATTATAATCGATATATAGAATCACCACCAGAAGGAGACAGATTCTAGAATATGTCACTAAAAGGGCATTGTGACTTTATGAAGAAGGTGGTCAAAACTGACTTTAGATGATGATCAATAGGAATTTTCGGTAGGCGAGGAGTCACCTGAGTTATCCCTTGGAGCTCTTTTAGACATATAGGTCTAGGTTTTGCTATATCCTTTGAGAAAGTAAACTTTTTTTTTTATCTGTTAAAACTACAACAACAAAAAACCCAGGTCTTAAGTCTTTTTACCACATAAAGGCATGTTTACATGTCCACATGTGAACAAATTTTCCTTCATTCTTTTATTCCTTAGAGATCCATCTGGTCTTAAATAGAAATTCAACTAGAATTTTATTTTGCCCGTTCTCATAGGTGAGGTTTTCCCAGGGAATGTGTCCTTAAAGTAGTATCTCCTTTGAGAATAAATGTATGCTGAAACACACCACTTGGTATCTACCTAATTATGATAATCTAATGAGCTATCAGAAGGTCACATTGTAATTGAACATCTACACAGAGACTATGTCCAAATTAAAAAGCATTCTGTAACAAAAAAATCTTTGAAGGATTAAATAATATAGCCATTTCTAAAAAGATTGAGCCTTGAGATTATTGGGTATTTTCTAATTTAAGTACAAGACTATGAGTTAAAGTGTATTTTTCCAGTCCATATTCATAATCCATATACTCCATCAGTCTCCAGGTATCCCTGAATCCCTCTTCTGCAATATTAGAGAAGCCAGTTGTGTTGCTCCTTTTTTCAGTTTTAAAATTTTTCTTTGAATTTGCCATGGGGAAAAAGGAAAACATCCAGTTGAAATTCCTTCTTTGTCATTCCTGATGCATTCTATTTAAGCTGAGTTTCTCCTCCCTCTCAGGAAGCTATCCTAAGAACCAGTCTTTCAAGAATAATGATTACCTAGCTATTTAGTAATGAGAGGGTGGGTAGATTATGAGTCTTGCATAGCAGGTAACAGTGACATTCACACCTCACCTTTGAATGTTGCTTGTGTTCTATTTCATTAACCTGGGAATGAAATACAACATTTACATTTTAATAAGCATATTATATAGTTAGGGTTTATCAGCTGAACATAAACAGTTGGATTTCAAGTATTTTCTGAGTTCAGTTCTCATAGTGAATAACAAAGATGTTACATGGTCACAAAAGAACAAATAAGTGCTCATCAAAACTATATGTATTTAACAACATAAATGCCTGAAACTATGGATACTACTGAACCCTATATATATTATGTTTTTTCCTATACACACATACTTATGACAATGTTTATAGATTAGGCACAATAAGAGATTAACAACTAATAATGAAGTAGGACAATTATAGCAATATACTAAAATAAAAGTTATGTGAATGTGCTTTCTGTCTCCAGTAATTTTTATATTTTTCAGTCCAATCCTATTCCTGAATCTCTGTAACCATCCCTTAAGGGCAATAAATGGCTTGGAGTCACTCGTTTCAGGGGATTCCTTGTTGAAGTCTTCCCATAGGCTCAATGCTTTCTTGCTCAACAGATTGCCATCAATTGCAACATGTTTTCTGTTCGTGCCTTCCACAAGTTTAATGCCTTTTTCATCCTCACTAAGCACTTACTATTCACTGTGGCCATAACTTTTGCAGTTTGAGGTACAACAGCAAAACTACTGTGAATTTATTTTTTTCTTCACAATTTCACAGGTGAAATATTCATTTTTACCATAGATCTTAGCAACATCAGCGTATGATTTTTTTTTCTTTCCTTCGAGAACTTTCGCCCTTTTACTTAAAGGAATCACCTTACAGCTTTTCTTTTGTTTATCCAAATTGCCCAGCCTCACTACTCTTGCTCTGTGGTCATTCAGTAAAACAAGGTTTGCTTGATCACAAGTACCCCAATAACCATGACAGGGAATTCGATAATCGGGAGGGCTATTAAGTAAATAACAGGGTGGGGAGCACGTATAGCATGGATACACTGGACAAAGGGATGGTTCACATTCCGGGCAGGAGGAGTTGACTGTGTGAGATTTCATTATGCTACTCAGAATGGCATGCAATTTAATATTTATGAATTGTTTATTTCTGGAATTTTCCATTGATATTTTTGGTCCATGGTTGACAGTGGATAGCTGAAATAGCTGAAAGTGAAACCGTGGATAAAGGGGGACTCCTATAGCTATTGAAACTAAAGCCTTTGACAGACCAAGTGGCTGCAGCATCGTAGTATTGCAATGGAAAGGAGGGATATAAACACTTGAGCGAGATGATTGGTTCTGGTTGCTCCACAGAGCTTACAGAAGGAAAACTAGCTCCTGTTTGAAATTCTTGGCTACCCTAAAGGGACCTCTTCTATCTCGTCACTACATATCTGCAATGTCTTAAAACAAGAGCCAAAGTTTCATCCAAAGTGGTTTGCAAAATTACAGCTGAAGTTCACAGCCTCAATAATTTCCTAAGTGGAAGTTGTGGCATTAATTGGGAAAGGATGGGACCCAAAGAACTGGAATGGGGACATTTAGGGTAGCTTTGAACAAATCTGAGAACCTGAATCTCTAAATCCCATTGAATATCCCTAGCAGAGAAAAGCGACCCTCGTCCTCTGTCAGATGACATTAATCTTTTGTTGCTGGAGATCCTGTAATTACTTCAATCAAGGTAGCTACCTTCCAAAGGGGTTCTGATCTTTCTCACACCTGCCTTCTACTCTTATAATGCTGTCAGATCTGTAAGGAGAATTAGACCACAGCATGCCCCAGGAAGACAAGTACAAAATCTGCTCTGAGAGGCAATAGCTTAGAATTACAGAATTTGACTAATGTTTACCTGTAGAAATGTGTAGGAATAGAGCCTTAAAGTGCTAAGCAAAACAGAAAGAAA